TATGAATCTATAGAATTCAAATCTAAAGTTTTATCAGATTCAAGCAGGTAGTTGTCGTTATATCATCGCTCAAAGTTCTGTAACACTAACTTAACCCAAACTTAGGTCGAACATTTAATCATGTGATGTGATCACGTAAATATCACTGGGTTCCTTGTTCTTGAAGTAATAACTAAATTTATATAATAGAATCCTTTTTTCGCGTTAATTGTTAAGCTTTTTGTAAATTTCACGATCTTTTTATATGAATCTGTTTATTTACTAAGCATTGCAGAAACATTGAAAGTTGTGGTTCGCAATAGTTATCGATACACTCTTATTTTTTGATCTCGGCAATAGTTATACCCCTGTTGAACATACTGCTGTTCTTATTGGCAACAAATTCTATTTCTCGGTGGTCAAATAACATATGGCCAGAAAACAATAAATTTCATATCCTGATTTGTCCGTACCTTTTGGCACGCTTCTGGACATGGACAAATTTTACAAATATTGCTATTTCAGTACCCGTTCATTACGAGGGCCATGCAGCTTTCAATGGTGCCAATACTGACAATTTGGTCCGATGTTGTTGACAAAAGCAACTACAAAGTGTCCCATTTGTCAAGGGAACTACGATTCAAGGTGCAAGACAGCAACGGTTGTTATCGATACCTCGGGTGAAATATATATGTAAATTAGTATACTAAATATTTTTAGAGTAAACGAGAGAACTTTTTCTCAGGCCTAATACTATGTGTTTAGAATCTATGACAATTTTAAAATTCCTTTCTTTTCATATTACAAAAAAAAACAAACCAAAAAACTACTTTGGTAGTAATATGGAATTCAGCAGGATATTTTGAGTTTTCTGAGTTCGTTTTCAGTAACGATTTCGATATATTGGATTGGCGGAAACGACAACTATTTAATCTTCAGGAAGAGATACCCGACAGAACCATTGTTTTTATCAGAAGACACAGTGCTGCAAACTTTGTTAATATGAGCGAAGTCTGCAACATATTTAACTGTAGGCTCTTAAAAGGAACTTTGTTTAATTGCTTTTACTTACGAGAAATATTAAACAATAACTTCTAATTCTTTTCGTTGTCTTGCTCCGAGAGTTAATACTTGCTTCGAGAGTTTATATTTGCTTCGAGAGTTCTATGAGGAATTAATATTTCATCATCTCTCGAGTTTTGTTTTTGACCTTGTAGTTGTTTATGAGATGAACTTAATTTCTTTTAATTTTTGGATGCTTGCTCCGTAAATTCTCATCCAATATTCTTGCATTATTATTTGAATACGAATGTTCCTTTAATCTCGTACTATTTTTTATAGATCTGGTTTTATTGGTTCATTTATATGATTTTTTCAAGATCCTTATTATGAGTAAAAATCGATGCTGCACTTCCTGTAGGAGGTGCGTTAATGTCCAGATATTCTATTATATACTTTATATATGTAGTGAGAAACTATTATTAGAGGTTAATTTTATTTTTTTGGGCATTTTTACAAACAGTTTATTATCATTTTGTTTATTTGGTCGAATATTGGTATTTCGACCCAAGCTTAAAAGAATCCTAGCGGAAAATTTTTATATTGATCGGTTAATAACGAAAGTCCAATTATTACCTTGCACGTTTGAAAATTACGTAAATAACTCCGAATCAAATTTCCTGTAAAATTCCTGTGCATTAAAATTTTATGAATTCTGCGCTTGATCCGTGCACTATAATTTTATAATTCTAGAATCTTAATTATTACATATCCAAAATTACTTAGATTATTGTTATTCTTCGGATTATTTTTCCGACTTTACTTCGTAATTTCTGCGGCATCCTGCGAAATGCATAAGCTGTTAAATTCGAAGAATATATTAATGTTAAATTTTTCAAGAGAAACTTTCTGTTAGTGCACAGAAGACGGATTCATAGACAAAATTTTCAAACTAATCCCAAAATTTGATTATCGGCTAAGTTTTTAATGGTTAGAATTTTTCGGATTCTATTAAATGAGTTCACTTAAAGCTTGGTTTAATGCGGCCATTAGTGGAAGAGAGTTTAATGAAATTCTATATGACGACCTAAAAGAGCTTGTTCATATTGGTCGTGGAGCTTTCGGAGAAGTCTATAAGGCAAACTGTGTATCTATTGAAAATACTGTTGCGGTGAAAAAGATCTTTAAATCCTACCTCGAGAAACAGGACGAGTTTGGCGCTTTTATTAAAGAGGTATGATTTTAAATATAATAAATTCTTGAGGCTAGAAAGTTTATTAAATAAATTTTTCTATTTAGCTAAAATTACATAGGCAACTTGATAATAACAGGATAATTAAATTTATTGGAATCAGCAAAGGTTGGTCATATCATTTTAAAAGCTTTCTAATAATTTGAAGAACTTATTTATATTAATAAAGTATATTCTAGATTCAAATGATGAAAGTTACTTAATTGTGATGGAATATGCTGATAGTGGCAGTTTACGACAATTTTTAAATAAAGAGAAAGACAATTTACAGTGGACTGAAAAGCTTTCGCTTGCCCAACAGTTAGCTGAGGGAATAGCCTACATTCACAGCAAGAATATAATACATCGAGACCTTGTGTGTGTTTTTTTTTTTTATCTTGTATTCATTAAATCATGCTGAGGTCTAAACTTTGTTCATAATTAATGTTTTAGCACGACAAAAGCATTTTGATTCATCAGAGACAAATTAAAATTGCAGATTTCGGCATATCGAAAAATCTTAATAGCACAATTACGTCAAAAACACCTCTTCTCGGCATATTGCCGTTCATAGAACCTAAAGCTATTGCCAACAATAAATATAAGAAGGACTAACGATCAGATGTTTATAGTGTCGGTGTATTATTATGGGAGATATCTAGCTGTCGTCCGCCATTTGAAGGCCTTAGTGATCCAGCAATTTGGATAAGTATTGAGAAAGGTGCTCGGGAAGCTCCAATTTCCAATACTCCTGTCGGGTATATAGAGCTATATAAAAAATTTTGGGATACATACCCATATCGGAGACCAAATATTAGCGAGATTGTTACTTGTCTAAGCACGATGCGTTTAGAGCCTGTATACGATTCAACATCATCACAGTTAGAAACTAGCAGAAGTTTAAACTCGCATCTATCATCTATAATAGGTAGGAAATAAAATTTTTATAATTTATTATATAATCAATGCACCTCTAAAAAAATTTGCATATTACAGGCACAGATCATAATTCGACATTAACGTTTGATGATAAGTTTGTGATTTCATTAAAGTCGAGCGACGAAACACTTGATTATGGTAAATGCAAATGTGGACACAAATTCACTAATGTTGAATGGTGCAATAAATGTGAATCTGAAAATTTTCAAAGCAACTTCAATCATTGGACAAGTGGTAATCAAAAGCTTGATGAATTTTTAAAAAAATCACAACTTGATGCAACCCACAAGTCTAATTATCTTGAATGGATAGATCAATTGAAAGATTAAATGGATTGGGGAAGGTGGATATTCCACGATTAATTCAGCAATATGGCGTGACGGACCACGTGAAGAATGGGATGAGAAAACATGTCGATGGAAAAGAGCTTCTAATACTAAAGTGATCGTAAGATATTCGAAAGAGTCTACGTCAGATATCTCTATGTGGTTGAAAGAAGTAAATTTAATTTAGCTATAATTTTATTAAATTGAAATTTTTAAAATACTAATATTTTATAAAATATTAGGTTAAACTACATTTATGTTGTGATAAAACTATTCAGTGCTATGGAATCACAAGAAACCATCTAACTGGCGAATATGGGTTAGTCCAAAAATATGCAAGTTATGGTGATTTACGTTCTTTTATTAGTCAAAAAGCTTTTATTGGATGGTGGCAAAAATTAAAGATACTAGAAGGAATTATTTAGGGTCTGAATCAAATTCATTTAGAAGCAGATTATATTCATAGAGATCTACATCCTGGAAACATTCTAATAGATCAAGATGAATTAAATAGATCAGTAAACGCATATATTTCTGATTTTGGAATGTCTATACCTATTAATTCTGAAATCACCGAAATTTGCGGTGTGCACCAATATATAGCTCCAGAAGTTTTTATGAGAGCGTCATACACTCAGGCAGCTGATATTTATAGCTTTGGTATAATAATGTTTGTGCTAATATCCAAAGATCCGTCATTCCATGATAGAATGAATGATAAGAATGACCAGGATCATATGAAATTGTTGTTCGATATATTTTTAGGACTACGTCCTAAACTTATCTCTGGTACTCCGAAATGCTATGCCGACGTCATGATCAGATGCTGGGATGCTGACCCATTAAAAAGACCATCTAGCGATGAATTATTAAGTATAATTACTGCATGGAACAATCGTTCTAGGGACAAGATTCAATTTGAGTCAGTCGATATAAAAACTCAAGGACTTAAAAAACGCCAACGTCAGTATTTCGACCTAAACTCTTCCCAAAGACTTGAAATAATGAATTCGAATTTGAATTACAGTTCGATCCCAAGTCTGAAACATCCGAAATTGGCGAAAACGAACGAAACTGGGAGAAACTTGAACTTTGTAGTAACTAAAAGTTGTATACGAACGCCTTTGAATACATCGCTGATTAGAAATAATAATTGGCTGGAGCTGAGAGAACCGAGGTGAAAGCCTTTCAAATTTTAGGTTCCGTAACCAGAATTGAGCCTAAATTAGTATCAGCGTCTGGATACCTGATTCTTGATTTAATGGATTGGATGTACACCTTTGTACTACCGGTAGTTCATTTATTAAAGGCTTTAAAAAATCAAAAAAATTAATTTTTAAAAAAATTTTTGCATGGAAAAATCTAATAATTGCTATAATATTACAGAAACTTTTTATTTTAATATTATTATTATTCTTAAAAAAATTTTTTTTAACTTGTAATTTTTGCAAAAGTTGATGTACTACCTGTAGTACACTATTGAAAATTATTATAC